GCAGACTGTAATATAGAGTCATTATTTTCCTCGATTCGGGATTAAAATTGGTGACTTGGGACACCCTAAATCTCCCAAGTGGCGACTCTGAAATAATTAAACCAATTCCGTTTCGATTGTCCTTTAATTGGAAAAAACTCCCCTGCGCCCCCTCGGGTGCGTAAAAAGGAGGTGTGACACTACCTCCTCTTGATGTCATGGGTGACATCAAAGGAAGAAGCTTCCTCCTAGCATCCACACCAACTCTTTCCACCAACTCTTCCAATTGGCATGCTATTGTTGACTAAACATAAACCAACACCTTCATCTTCTTTTTCTTCACTCTGATGGGCGCCTAATAGAGTTTTGGTCAAGGATGTTATCATTTCTTCATTATTTCTGAAATTTAGAGAACCTTTTCTCCTTCCCCTGGCCTTTTTCTTTATCAGGAATGCTTTATGTTGTTCCCTTAGCTTGTCAAAGGCAAAATTTATCTCCTCAAAGTGATTCTTGGCCTCTTTCGAGTTTCATGTGGTTCATTTGCCCGCGCAATCTGTTATCTAACGGTAACATCTATTCTTCATGTTCAATCTCCTCTTGAACTTTTACAGATTCCCTCTTTATCTCTTCTTTAGCTCAGTCTTCACCAATGTCTCTCGCTAATTCATCACATATTTGTTCCATTACTTCACTTGCTCTCCTCGCTTTCAAGCTATTTCACTGCCTTCATGAAAGATGCTTTTGTATCCGACAACTCCTTGCCAAACTTTTTTTCAAGCTCCAACATCCGCGCCTTAACTTTCTCTCAACCTCAAGTTCATTTGCAATACGAGCTGAGATTCATGATCACATCCATACTTCATTAATATTGTCGATACTACTTTTGGTAGTACTGCCAAATCAAGATCCAAACAGTACCACAATTACTAAAAGCTGGAGATGTAAGAGATGATTCATGAGAGTCAAGGGCGGCTCCGTAAAATTGATGGCCTAAAGTCAAATTTTAATAAAAGGCCTTATACCTTTTCTATTAGTACGTATCCATACATATATGCAAAAAATTTAATCTTGCCATTTTTTTCATACTTTTTGTTTATAGAATATCTTCTTAAATGACATAAAGTCTTTAACTTCACATAGTAATATTATTATTTATATTAAAAAAGAAAAATTTTAATAAATGAGATATTAGACATGTATTTGCGATATGCTACCTTTGATGTTGTTGTAAAAATTATATTTACTAATATGAAGATTTAAGTAGTTTAATTCAAAGTTTAAAAAATATTTTTACTGTTTAAGAGTAGACACCTTTCTTTCTTTTTTGCACTTTTTTATTTTTTCTACAAACATTAATATTGTCTAATTTGAAATAAAATTATGAAATCCATTATTAAAAATTTTGGGGTACCTAAATCAAGACTTTACTAGTCTCCTACTAGAGCCACTTATCCGCCCCGTACATTCTCAATAAAATTTATAGAGTCTCACTTAAAATAAGGCAACTATGACAAGAGCATTAAAGGCAACGAGTTTGTCATTCAGTTACCAAACGTGAATGAAGTCGGTTGAACAGTACGTTTATAGTGGGACAGTAGTCTGTAAATAATTCTTGATTGTCAATGAGGGGCGGCTCAACAGAACTGATGGCCTAAACCAAAATATATTAAAAAGACCCTGAAACGTTTTTTATAAAATTCATATAATATTGAGATACAAAAAAAACTTCATGACTTTGATATAGTGGTGAGAGCACAAATCATGATGTATGAGTTAGGCACGCGTCATATGGTATTGAATTCTTCCCTTAAGTGAAAATGGTAAAGGGTGAGCCCATTATTCATCATGTTTTGAACCTTGCAACATTTGCCTCGGGGATTTTTTAGTTAAAAAAGATGAGACACAAAAGAACTTGCTTTCTGTTATGTTGATCAATCAAATGTGACAAAAAGAAATAGTTAATTTAGAGAATTGGAATTGAAATTAGAAAATAAAATCGTAAGAAGCATAAAAAAGACTATACATAAAGAAAATAAAATAAAATTAATTAGAAGGTAGATATATATATTACGTCTACCAAATGTTAAAAATCATTAAAATTTAAAATCTTTATTAATAATTATATAAATATAAATTATGAAGTATATATTATATAATAATATAATAACAATTTTTATTTTTGGGGCCTTAATTATTTGGGGGACTAAGGCAAGTCCCTAGAGCCGCCCTTGATGAGAGTACTAAGTGCATTCTGGCGGTTGCTGTTGCTCCTCAACAGAGATCTTTACTCAGATTTCTTCTCAATAACTTACCATTGATCTCCACAATTGCAGCTTCCATTCAAGAACCTGTGGTATCTGTTAACATCCCGCACTATAATCTCTCTCTCAATAAGTCTACTAATATACTTAAATGCCTCGTGACAATCCCTGCAAATTCTCAAATTCTTCACAATCCGCAAAGCTTTCCCAGGTGGTGCTGTCCCATTCAACAACCCAAATGCCAATGCCAACTTCTCACTGTGATACCAAAGTGCTTTCTTCTTTTCCTTCTCTTCTACTTCATGCAACATTTCAGCCCATACGGGCACATAACCCAATTTCTCAATCTCTTCCATTAAGTCTGCTAACTTAGCATAAATCTCATCAGCCCTCTCGTGTCTCCTATCACCCGCTAAAAACACATGAACCTCTCCCTGCGTTTCAATCCAACTCTTCCCACCTTCCTTCCTCACTTTCTTATCCTTCATTCTCTTCCACACCTCCCTCACCTCATCCCACCTCCCTGCACTCGCATATGCATTTGCCAAAATCACATAAGCCGAATCATCCATTGGGTTAATGTGCAACAACCTATCACTCATCCTCCACGCAATATCCATATTCACGTGATAGGCACATTTAGACAATAATACTCGCCATAAAGCTGCATCCGGCTTAAAAGGCATTGATAAAGCAATCCGCTCTGCCTCCTCCAGACGCCCTGCTTTCCCCAATGCACCTACCAAACACGTATAGTGCTCGAGACATGGCTCCAAGCTATACTCTTCCGTCATCCTCCTGAACCATATCTCAGTCTCTTCAACTAAACCTGCATTGTAAAATGCTGTCAAGATAGCTAAGAAACTGTACTCATCCGGCACCATTCCTCGTTCTTCCATCAAAGTGAAAAGTTCTATGACATTGCCATGTTCACCTTGTTGAGCATGCCCTGCCATCATTGCGTTCCACCCGACAATATTGAGTTCCATTTCTAGCTCATCAAACACTCCACGAGCGTTCCCCAAAAGCCCACATTTCCCATACCCATCAATCAATGCACTGCCTACAATAACATTCAAATTAAGCCCCGTTACCATCGCGTGTCCATGAATAATCCTACATTGCTCAAGCATAGCCACATCAGATGCTGCCCGCAGAGCACCAGAAACACTAACCATAGTAGATGCCACACCACTTCTCCTCATTTCAACAAAACACGACAAAGCATCCATAGGCTTAGAGTTCCGAGCAAGCCCAACAATAACGGACGAGAAACAAACCTCATCTCTAACAGACATTTCATCGAACACCCTTTTCGCATTACCTGACAACCCAGTTTTAAAGTACAACGACACAAGAGCTGACGCCGTAAACGGCTCTGAAGAGAAACCCAATTTGATAGCAAGGGAATGGAGTTGTAGCCCGAAGGTGAGAGCAGGAAGAGAGGCGCAAGTTTTGAGAAGGGAGGTTAAAGTATGGCCATTGGGGAGGATTTGACGGCGGATCATGGAAATAAAATGACGAAAGGCGGAGAGTGGGGAGTTGGAGAATGCGGATGTGAGAAGCGCTGTAAATGAAACGACATTGGGTGATGGGATTGACTGGAAAACACGGACGGCGTGTGAAGGGAGATTGGATTTGGAGTAGAGAGTGATGAGGTTGTTGAGGACTGCACGGTTGGCTTTCGCCGCGCCTGTTGTGATGGCGCGTGCATGTGTACACCGTGGGTCTATTGTTGAGTCCATTTGATTTGCTCGCTAACCAGCTGAATTACTTTGAACTACTACGATATATTCCTGAATGTATGTAATATAATGTCATTACCAGTACCAGGACTTAAAGCAAAAGAAGAGTCTTTTGGGTATTACCCATTGTAACAGTTGTTAGCAAGGTTGAGTAACTGTAAGAGTACCACGAAGCTGTGAAGGAATTGCAGGTTGAATGTAGGTTATCTTCGCCAAAAATCAAACGAGCCGGCATTACTTCATTCGTCGTCGAAAATGGCGGAATACATCGGCGGCGGCGGCTAAGGACTCTGATTTGTATTAGCGACTGTATTTGGTAGTTCAAGAAATAAGTTTTACAAAATTGTACTATTCAATATATCGATTTATGCTTCTAAATAATTTAATGGTTAATTATACTAAACACCCCTATAATGTGTATGACTCAAATTTGATTAATAGCCTGTTTGGCCGAGGTTCTCCGTAGGCCAAAATTCCTTTTTTTCCTCCTAACTTAGAAGTATTTGGCCAAGCTTTCTTGAGGGAAAAAAGTGATTTTTGGAAGAAGCAAAGCAGAAAAAAGTAGTTTCTTCTTAAAAGCAGAAACAGTTTTGACTTTTCTTCTACCAATAATTCCATTAACAAAATATAGTATATACCAAAATAACCATTAAATCTAATACTTAGGATATTAATGTATAAATATTTCTTATTACTTTTAGGATATCTTTCTAATATATAGTGACTTTAGGGGTGAATATTTTTATATTTGTTGAATGATATTTAATACTTCTTCCGGTTCACAATAAGTGACCAATTTCTTTTTAGCACGCCCATTAAGAAAATGCTAAATCCTATACAAAATACCTAGTATGACTAAACTACCCTTTTTAAATATTGGTCACATAGTTATAGTAAGGAGTGAGAAATTTTTTTAGCGATATGCACATAAGGGCAAAAGAGTAAAAACAAATTGAATTTTTTCTTGATTACCTAACTGGACACTTATTTTGAACCAAAATGAAAAAGCAAACTAGTTACTTATTGTGAATCGGAGGGAGTATATTTAATTTATATTAAAAGAATTAAGTACTTTTAAATTTTATTTTCATATTTTCCTTAAATAGAATGAAGAGATTTAATTATTGCCTGTAATAACAAATTTTGAGATTATTTATTTACTTATAATATTAATTATTAAGTAAATCTATTCATGTCCTTATTCGTAATTTGATACTTAAAAGCACTTTCTGAAAAGCTTGGCCAAACACAATTAGTGCTCAAAAATATTTTTCAGAGTGATTAGTCAAATACAAACTGCTTATCCCAAAATTACTTTTTTCAAAAACAATTCTCAAAATAAGTTGATTTTTCAGCTTGACCAAATAGGCTATTAATTAAATTATAATTAAAAAGCTTTATCTATTTATTTTTTATGAAATTCAATAAAAGAATATATTTTTATTAAAAAGTTGTCTTCTCTTGATATACCAAAAGTGACAAGTAAAAGTGAAATTTATTTTTAGAATACCGGACAAGTAAAAGTGAACGGAGAGATTAATGAGTTTTCAATTTATGTGAATCTATTTCCTTTTTAGTCTATGCCAAAAAGAATGATTCATTACCATATTTAAAAATAATTTACCTTTATGCAATGATTTATAACCACACAAAATAAATGTACCCCATTTTACACCACAAGTTCAAAAAAATTCTATCTTTTCTTAAATTCGGTGCCCAGTTAAATGAATTCATATAAATTGAAACGGAGGGAGTATATGATTATTATTAAAACGATATTTTAGTAATTACCAAGGGTTACATCAGTTATTCACCTTCCTTTAATTGGAATTATAAGTTTATCATTATCTCTTCTAAAGTTTCTCTTGAAATCAAAATCAAACTTAGTACAATATGACAATATTTGAAATATTACTTTGTGAGCTAAATTAACACATGGGGATAAAAAGAAAAAGTGAGCAATGGATTATTTAATTGCGAAAAATCAGAAATAACCCGATTTACAATTGGTAATTGAAAAATAGGCACAATTTTAAAAGTACTCGAAATTTAGCAACTTTTTTATGTAAAGATAAAATTTGAATAAAAATACCCTTAAAAATCCGAAACAATTCCAACACAATATGTTAAAGTTCGAATTTTTTACATATGAGATTCCAATATAATGTATTAGAATTTCATAATGTGTTGGAGTTCCAATATAATAAGTTTATACGCAGTAACCCCATAACCAACATATTATGCTAAAACTTTCTGTGTTTAAGCTATGGTACTTTGTCCAGATTTTATCTTCGCATAAAATAGTGACTATTTTTCAATGACTTTGCAAATACGGGTTATTTTTCGATCCAAAAACTGGTTGGCACATACTATTTTCACGTACAATTCCTATAAAACAAGTATGTCAGCCAAACACTTCTTGAGAGCAATGATTTCTTTGATGAAAGATTCCCTCCTTATTCTTCTGAACAGCTTATATAGAGAAACGATTGAAGGAAGAAGTCAGAGCTCAAAGCAGCTGTAACATACTGATTCTGCAAAATGGAGAAAGTGACTTTAGAATTTTACAACAGTCATCTGAATTTTATTTTTTGCATTTTGATGATAACTTTCTACCTAAATTTACATAAGTCAAAAGGTTTGCAAAAAAGTGGGAAAAAGAAGGGCTTCCGCAGAATTAATACAAGATCATAAACATTTTAATACAACAAAAATCAACAGAGTCTGTAGTTTTTCCTTTTATTCTCCCTGGATAACCCCTTTTCCTGTGAAATCCATTGCTTTTGTCTTTTTCTTTCTAGAGCCATTGCATAAGTTTCTTCTTCAGCAGTCATAATATAATTAAGAGAAGCAGAACAAATGTTGGTTGACTGTGATGAGCTCCAAGGGAGGTCAATATAAATTATACAGTACTAAAAATCAACAGATCCATTTCGATGCATTAAATGCTTAAAAAGAATATTACCATGGCGAGTGTTATTCAATAATTCAAATAGCTGCTGTAGAAACATCGATATCATCAGATTCATGAGCTATCATTTCATCACAAAATAGCAGTTTAAGATATGGAAGAACTCTTGGAAGCATGGGTAGGTCTGCTAAGTTAACACT